CCGTAGCAGTAGTCAAAACATGGAGAGAATCAGTGTGTGTGAGTGTTGATTAAGTGGTGTGTATCTAAGAACATTCTGACATGACATCTAGTGACATGTCATGACATTAAACATAAGAAAATATTATGATTACAATTACGGTTAAACATATCATAATAATAACAATAATCATCCTGCCTGCTGACAATCAAACTGTTCTATCTAGTTATCCTTGACCATAATGCACCCTGCAAAAAACTCATGAGAATGACTAAGCATTTAAACTAGACATCCTGTCTCCACTAAACATTTCTAATACAACAAGTATCTAACCAATTTCTATCTGACTAAAAAATACCTAACATAAGCAAGGGAAACAAATGTATTAAAATAACCAAAGCTCAGTAGTTCTGGACAATCATCAATAGAGCTGTAATATGCATACACAAGTAAGATAAAGTTATGAAAGGTAACTAAAGGGAACTAAAGTTATGAGAGGTAACTAAAGGGAACTAAAGGTATGAGAAGTAACTAAAACTTATAAAGTAACTAGAGTCTATAAGACTCATATCTTACAATTCCCCCTTTTGACATGATTTTATCATGTCAATCAAAAACAGTGGAGAATTATAAACTGCATTGGGGTACTGATCTGAATGTCAGAGACAAATCAGTCATCCAACCAGAGGGAACATAAGGCCCCCTTTTGGAGTCTCAATGTAATGTAAACATGTCTTCACTGCGAACATACAACCTGTGTTACCAAAAGCATCTGTCCACCTGTCTTCTCGTGCAAAGGAGCATGAGTTACAGCCGATTCTTGACCCATAGGGTCCACATTGGTGCTGGCCCACTCTCCACAGTTAAAACAGCTTCCACTCCTTTGTGAAGATTGTCCATGGAGTCCAGGAATGGGAGGGAGGCTGTTCAAATGTCTTGGTATGTTGAAGCCTCAAGAGTCCTTGTCACTGGATCAAAGAGACCAAGCACAGTTCCTGAGAAGCAATTTCACTTCATGAGCCGATGCCCTGCATCGTACTCAGTGATGTTGATGTGGATGTGGCAGTTCAACTGTGGAGCCCCCGTTCAGGGAGCTCTTCATGTCCCGGGCCACTCTGCAGGTCACATGAAGTGTCAGGACCAGACCCACTGCGCCAGTGGCATCCCATCATGGCACCATGTCGGAGTTAGTTGAGATCCTGAGAGTGGCTTATCCTTTCACAACTGTCTGTAGAAGCTGGGTGCATGCCTGGATGGTTGATTGCACCTGTAGCTATGGAAGAGAGTGGGGCACCTGAGTTCAATAATTTGGAGGGGTGGGTGAACCACCGGGAAAGAAAAAAATTTGAACTCTTGTTTCTATTTAATTTTTAACTTTGAACTCATATACCAATTTCATCTATGTACACTCTGTTATTAGCCGTTCCTCTGGGGCCTGCCTTCTCTCCTGGTCCTGCAGTGTAGGTGGGATGCAGACAACAGCTTTCCCCTAGCTCCTTGTCTTCTCTCAAGGAGGCATGTGAAGGGGCATCAGCAGCCCCTGCCATAGTGAGGGGAGTCTTGGTCTCAGCTTGCTGTCTCTGCAAGTCCACCATGTGTCTGCCCTTGAAACAGTTTGGTTCGCAAACCGGGTGGCAGAATAGTGATGTTGAAGGTTTCCTTGCACCAGGCCGGCGGCAGGTACTGGGCGTTCTTGCCGGTAATAGAGTGTACATAGCAGGTCTAATTTTCAGGATATCAGCTGCTAATGGAGGAATGTCTCCTTTGTCTCGCCGGTGGAAACAGTAAAGAAAGATTAACATTGTTCAACGATTAGAGAAAAAGACTTGTCATGCCCTTATGGTATACATGATGATCCTGTAGTCTGCCAATTCTTTCAACTGACTGGGGGGCTGTTCCTAATTGTAGTCCCACAGTAGAACAAATACAAACAATATAATTGCTAATGGTGCTTTGCCTTGCGGTATCAAATCAAGTCAAATTTGTGTATATAGCACTTTAAAAACATTCAGCTGACCAGAGCACCTTTCATAGCAGAATAGAATCACAATAGATGACTAAAATAGAGTAATTAAGATCAGCCCAAAAATAAAAATAAAAATAAAAGCACAATATCACAGATACACAGTTAACATATGTTCAACAAATTAAAACCAAAAGGAAATAAAAGGAATGCATCAGGTCTACTGTTTTTCATAAGCCAAACCAAATAAGTATGTTTTAAGCAATGATTTAAAAGCACTGAGGTCAGTAGCTGATCTAACATTAGAAGTTAGACTGTTCCACAATTTAGGGGCTGCAACAGTAAAAGCACGGTCACCCCAGCGTTTATATCTGACCATAGGAACTTCTAAAAATGCTGACTTGAAGATCTGAGGGACCTTGTAGGTTTGTGCCAATGCACTACTTCAGTAAAATAAAATGGGGTCAAACAGTAAACATCATTTGTTCAAACCTTTCACTTTTGACAACACATTCTGATTCTAAGTTCATTACACAGTGAGGTTTTTCAGCTATTATATTCTTTTTCCACTGGAGATGCATTAATACTGTGAAAACTACCTAAGAGAGGAGATGTGACATCTGTTTCTCAGCTGGTTTCCTGGCCCTTCTTCTAC